CTTCAGATCTAGGAACACTATCCCTAGCATCCTCTCGGAAACCAGGCCACCAAATGCGGATTGTGATTCCAATAATTGCATTTACCGGATACCCTGTGAGTGCGGAGAATCATGCATCGGTGAAACTAAGAGGCCATTGAAAGTTCGCATTGCTGAGCAGAAGAAACACATCCAACGAGGAGAAACTAGCAAATCAGAAATAGCACAGCATGCTTGGACTCATCAACATAACATCAAGTGGTCTCAAGCTGAAATATTCGACAAGGAGGAACACTGGTTTAGGAGAAAATTCAAAGAAGCTAACGCATTTAGTCAAGATAGCGTAGAGATACGCAACATATGGAAACCTATAATCAAGCAGAACACGACCAACTCCTGCGATCTAGGAGGAATAAGTCCAGCCATCTAAAGACGAATATTGATACTAACAATCGAAACGTTCGTGAAGTAACGTGGCTTGGAATCTTTTGAATTTCAATTTTTTACTCAATATAATCATTATTTTTTGGCGAATCTTTTCAATTTTTATAGATTATTTCAGGGATTTCAAGTCAATTTATATCATATCAGATAATGGGAGTCCGAACTAATGGAATGCAGGATTATTATTTTCCGCGATGAAACTCTTTACCCATTACCGTAATTGTACAATGTTCACACTGATTTTTCTTAATTAATGAAATGAAAATTTTCATTGTAAAAATCATATAATTGTTATTAATTTTTATCAAGTAACGAGTCGGTGTATTCAAAATTTTATGGGTAAAATACTCGTAAGCATAGTTACCTATTGCAATCTTCTGTCAATACCAGAAAAACGGGTTTTTACACTTCCTCGGTAAAATTTCACACACATAAAAAGTGTTTCCATCAATCAAAAGTCAAGTTTTTTCATATTTCCAAATAAACTTGAACTCTAAAATTAATGGCATGAATTAGGATGTTCAACATATTCAACAATGATAATATGGGAAATTCCAACTGTCTCAATTATCCTAGCTTTTGCAAAAAGGAGGTGAGAGTTCATTTCAATTATTCACGAATAATAATCAACTCATACGGTATATAATTGCATTCCATTTAGAAAATAAACAGTAACTCAACAATGTCTATTCAATGCATATTGTTATTGTTTCACCTATCTGCGATTGCATGCCACACTTTTTTTTATTTACTCAGTGTAATTGCTCCTCATTTATAGGGAATTAACGCAAGTAAATAAAGGCAAAAATTGAAGTAATTCACAAATTTGAAATGGGTCGTGATCATAAATGAATGAAAAACAATGTAAAGGAAATTATCCAAGCTTGCATAAAGGATGGTTTTGACTATCATCCAAAAGCTGTATTTCACCACGAGGTGTCTTGAACCTATATGTTGACAACATTACTTTGTTTTCCCTTGTATAATGTGCATAAATCGACTCTTGTGAAATTTTTCATTATTGTTTTTTGTTGCAATACGATCAACAGTAGACAGAGCTCATGTTTCATCGGCATTTTGAAATTACATAAAGTTGAGAAGAGTTTCAAAAATATTGATGATAAACAGCATTCATATAATTATTTCCATATTGGAGTTTTTCATGAAAAGTTACAACTTAGCAGCAGTTCGAAGAAAAGTAGCGTTAATGTCTCATATGAGAAATGACTGAACTCCTAAACTTCTTGAAGACTGATATTTTTAAATTCCTTCGGTAGAAAACTACGATTATATACCTACCTTTATTGCCTGATAGTAAGCTCCTTCCTCATAATATGTAGAGATATGGCTGGGGATAGACAGTTCGTTACAATGCCTTGTATTGATATTCATATTAATAGAATATTGACTACTATTTCTGAGAAATAGGTTACAATATTTTCAACAAAGTAGACAAGACCCAAGAAGCACTGTCAAAATGCAAGTTTTGAAAAGAACTCCTCACAGAAACTCCCGACATAATTTTTTTCAAATGAATATTTTTTGTAAGTAAAATATAATACCATATGAAAACAATGACTGCATAAGGGCATAGTAATGGGTTCTCACACTACAAATAGAAACTTCACCTCTCGAACATCATATTACACCAGAAATAGAGCTCAATCTGTTATTCAATAAGTTTATATGGGTTTTCGAACTGAGGGTTGCATCTATTGTGACACCTAAGAATTTAGTTTTGTCTTTGTTTCCTCCTTGTTTCATACCAAACTATTTTCCCAGGCATCAAGTCCCTTCAATTGACAGACCTTGCACTAGGTGGTAGGGGTAACTTAAACGCCAAACACCAATCTCACTCAAGAAATGGAGTATCAGCATCTTCTGTCACATATAAAAGTCAATCCAACCTAGTTTTGAATTCTTCAATATTCACTATGCATTTTCCTAGGGTGTTTATTGGGTTTTCTTCATAAGATCAGCTGATTTTGTGAGAGTTGTAAAAGTTGTGTGAGAAATACTTTATGGCCCCTGAACCAGGTTCATGAGGTATTCATTGAAAAATGATTATAGAAACATGATAGGCAATAGTATGGAACGGTTTCACTACATTAGTTATTCTAGGGCGACAGATCATGATTTTCTGGTGAGAAAATACCAAATAACGAAAAGCTATTCAACTCAATTTGATCGTTCATTGGAAATATGCGCATTACTTTCCTGTGGATCATGATATTGAATGCTGCTACTTTGTATTGATAAGGTTGTGTGGAAGAACTATGAATGATAATATCAGTGTAATATAATATATGTATAATGTATTAAGAGTCAGTTTCACATTGATTTCACTTATGTTCGTAGTGAACGGTTGGGATCACGTTTTTGCACAAGACGCATCTTCAATAATACCCTTGAACCATTATGACCAGAAGAGTTATTTTTTGGCCGTCCATGCTAAGGTGAGGAAAGTAAATTTTGATAGTCGAACTCAACACTTTTCAATCAATTTCAGGCAACTTTTATGCAGGCCATGCAATTTTGTGAAAATTTGCACATGAAACTATTGAGTGTCAGATCAGCAGAAGAAAATGAGAAAATACATAGCTATATACGAAACACTAGTGAGTATTTAACAAAACTTAGAAAATTTCACATCTGGCTGATTGAAGAGATGAATAATATTTTCAGGAGTTACTTTCGAAATATAGATAAAAAACTGTAATTTTTTTTTTCAGATTCAACAATTGCATTCATAAATATTTGACAAAGAAGGTACCTTCTTATATGCATCAACTAAAGATATAATTCTGACCATATGGAAATTTCATTACAAATTAATATGTTTTCTATCGGATTATATGAGTTCAAACCTTAAAATTATAACATCAATTCTATTTCCAAAAAAATAAATGAGTTGAACCATCATAAGCTGAAAGAAATTGTTAACCAATCTCTATTAATTAAAGTCAATAATTTGTATATTGCATTGTAAAGTAGTGTGGAGTACCAGGCCAACTCAGGATGATACTATGTAGTAACTAGAAAGCGTACTGGAAATAGTCTATATTGTGAAAATTTGTGATTATCATCACGGGTCAGTGTTGTCAAAACAAAAAAATTGAGAGGAGTGAGTTGAAGTGATTTTGAAGCAAACAGCTCAATATTTCACTATACCTATTTGTTTTGCCTAAGATAGTTAAAATATAAAAAGTTGAAATATGTATTACAGATCGAGGCACCCAATATTGGACATCAGGATCTAAATTATTAGATGGAAAAAACTGGATATGGATGTCATATGGAGTTTCTGTTGACTATACACATTGGGCACCAAATTTGTCATATGATGAACAAGCCTTATGCCTACAATTGGATAGTGAGGATGAATCAGTTTACTGGAAACATGCACATTGTGGCATAGCACTATTTTTCATTTGTGAGAGATTCAAAGGCGAAGGGGCTAACTATGATACAAATGAAATGATAAGTCCTCAAGCACAAATCACAAGTGAGTGGGGTTTTAATATTCATTCCTTGAAATGGAGCAAAATACTATGAATTTTTTGTTGAATGCTACACAAATACCCATCAGGAAATCTGAATCAGAATAGGAACAAAAACATATTATAAAAAAATATTGTTATTATCGTCTTGAATATTTTCAGTGATATATTGATTATCAAAGAATAATTACCAATATTTATTGATAATGATTCAACTCCTCTATGGTATTATATTAATTGCTCTCCCACTCAGGCCTGATTTTCTAATATATTCAACCGAATTTCAGATTGACGAAAGGAAGGCTTTCTACTTTTTATCTTCATACAGAAAAATGTTGAAAACTTTCAAAGAAAGGAAAAAAATAATTCATTCAAAAATATATTATTTACGAAGACATGTATATCATGCAAAGAAACTGAAAGAAAAAACCCTCTTTCGTGTAATTCAATGTGTCTATGAAAGTAGTTGTTTCGAAAAGGATTTCTCTTTCAGTTTTGTGTCTGAAAGTTACTTCTCTGCATGATCTGCACATCTTTGTGAAGAACTTATTGATGGCGTCCTTCCTTCCTTTTGTAGATTCCCCTTTTTTGTATGAAGGTAAATGAGAAGACAGCCAAAACCTTACTTTTCCATAAACACAAAATAATGATTTTATCACTTCATAGGTTACAGTATTTTGTTGACAGACACGTGAAACGTTTGTAGGCAGAAATAATTATTATTTTTAAGTTATTGAATCAGATAAACACCATTGTGATTCATTTGTCGAATATATGCATCTGTCAAATAGATGCATAATGAATTTTATGAAATTTAATTACGTTGAAAATTTTTTGCCAAAAAAATTATCCTATCAAATTTGTCTATTTCTAGTCATGTGTGTCGAAATAACCAATGAAACCATCATTACACTGATAACTACCCATGGATAGTTTTCACGGGTAGTTATCACTTATGTCATGACATTGCTAAGCAACCAACACAATAAAGTTGTTTGACATTTCAGTAATTCAATTTATTTCGAAAATGTCACTTCCTCGCTTTGGTGTTTGAAATGATGCGGCAATTGACAAAATCATTAACGGAATATCATTATACGAATTGTTCTTTTAATAACTGTGTGTTCAATAAATAATTTTGTTCGAATTGCAAATCACCGAATATCCCTCGAACATTGATAAATAACTCATAATTTTATCACAACTTCCTCAAGCACGTTATTTTAGGTAACATGTTACCAAATAACGTGCTTTCGAAAACTGTGATAAAATTATTTCGTTAGTTATCCAATGTCCTTGGGATATTATAGCTGAAAAGTTGCCGAATAACAGTGATAATCACAACATCATATATGAACCAAAATCGTTCTGATAATTCTCTTCAATGGAGCAGTAAAAATAATACAGATGAGACATGTCATTGGTAAGGATTCAGACACATAGAAAATACACTGCGGCTAATGATTGGAGATGATTGGATTTCGTATTCATACTGATAATTGGGAGGTAAGACGCCTGAATAATATATCTTTATAACTTCAAGCTATTGGTTATGTATATGAAGTCCTTCCTTTACAATCTATCAGATGGATGAATACTCCGTTGCAGTCTACCGATAATGTGTATTTCATATTTGCAAACGATAAGAAACGAATTACAACAATGATTTCTCAAATCTCGAATGACATGTTGGTGTCTGTTCATCAGTAGAACTGAAGAGTATAATATTAAATGAAAAATAAAATTAAGAACTTATTACGTGATATCAATTATGTTGGTAATATATTTTCCATTTCTTTCAAGTCTCCTGAAACGGTAGCCTCATGGATTTAATGCAATTGAATTTTAGGTCAAAGATGAACAACTTCATTTCACTACTTCAGGGTTTTCACTTGGATTATACTTTTTTTTCAATCTACTAATTTTCACATTCTCTTAGAATTCAATTTATTATTCAGAACACTTATCACCTCTTCATGGTAATGTTACTTGACATCTATCAACCAATATGCCAAAGGTCATTTGTTCTTTAGTTGAAATTTCGTCGAAATTATGAGAAATTTCGAGTTCAAAAGTCTCAATTTTCAATTTAAAATCGTAATTTTGAGTGGAAACTCGTAATTTCGAGTTCAAAGTCGTGATTTCGAGTAAGGGCGATGATATCTCCCCCCCACGTAGTCGCCATCTATGAGATCGACACAGAACTCAATCTTTTAATATCAAAGATAAACGGGAATCCTGAGAGTGGTCAGATGCAAGGCCACGCTTCGAATTCGACCACCGTCGAAATTCGTCTTCTGTCGTTCACTGCAGCTTCTAGTGCAAGGTAACTCTTGTCAACTAGAGAGCTGAACCACAACTGCAAGAGATTGATCCCATAGATGATTTCTGATGAGACCTATGACGGGTCAAAACAATGCTGATTGATATTGAATCAGAAATACATTTAGAGAATGAAGTGAAAATTTCGAAATTAAAATAGAAATTTCGAATTTTTAAAGTCGTTATTTCCAAGAAACAAATAATTGAAAATGTGGCCCTTAATTGTCCTAGCAAGAGGACTATTCTCAATGTAGTGCATACATTTGAGTCCACTGGTTCAGTAAACGATCGATCAACACCGTGCGTCGACTGAACGCAAGATTTGCCGAGAACATAGCCGCTGTCTGTGACAATGTGAAGGAGAGTCCAACGCAGTCGATTTCGCATCGCTCACGACCATAAACAACGACGTCTGTTCGCTGAATGGGCTCTGGAACAGTTGGCACCTGACCTTAATTTTCATCGAAAAATCATCTTCAGCGATGAGGCTCATTTCTGGAATGGTTATGTGAACAAATAAAATTGTCAAATTAGGGACGATACCAATCCACATAAGACCCAAGCGCGTTAAATGCATCCCAAAAAAGTCACTGTTTGGTGTAAATTTTGGGCTGACGGCTTCATCGGTCCATATTTCTTCGAGAACGACGTTGGCCAGGCCATCACTGTAAACAGCAGGCACTATAGGTAGATGATTACCAACTTCTTTCGATTTGAATTGAATGATCGTGACATCAAGGACATGTGATTTCAACAGGACGACGCTATGTACCACATGGCTCATGTCACATTGGATATTCTGCACGAGCGATTTGAGGGAATGGTCATCTCACGTGGAGGTGATGTGAACTGGTCACCGAAATCGCCCGATTTGACCTCGTTAGACTTTTTCTCGTGGGGTTTTGTCAAGTCGCAGATGTATATCAATAAGCCACACACCACAGCAATCCTCAAAACCAACATTACCCATGCCATCGGTCAAATTCAGCCTGATTTATGCGCCAAAGGCATGGAAAATTGGGCGTTTCGGATGCGCTTCACCCAGACACTTAAACGATGTTGTATTCCATACATAATGGCATCAATATGTCTTTCAAATGCATGAAAAATTTCGATGATATCTCACACACACACTTTGTTTTATTCATATTTAAAGATAGGAAGCGTCTAATGAAATACCCTACTCGTTCAATAGTTGAGGAAGATAAGCGAAGTAAAATTTTGATTGAACAAATCACAATTTATCAATCCTAGCCATGTTCACAGATAGAATTGTCATCGAAATATATCTAAGCTATTCATTTAACATACTAGGTTAGGTAAGGTTTAAAGTGAGTGGATCTATTGGACCCTCCACCGCAACCCGCAAGGGTTTATTAGGGCTCACACCTATTCATACTCGATCAAATAAACCTAGGTAAACGAAGCCGAAAAATTTGTATGGTGATTGGCATTTAACATGTACACTTACTAAACTACTGGAGAATTTTTGTTGCCTGACTTTCATTCAACACATGTTTCATCACCTGATTTGGATGCAATGTGGTGATTGTTAGTACTCACAATCGTCATCGGGTGATAATAGTTATCACCGACAAAAATGCATGGCAAACAAAACGGACTAGAATAACACGTTTCAAAGAACATGACACAAATGGAGTTCAGACAAACATTTGAGTACGGTGTCGCTCAATATGTTTTAGAGAATGACCACAGAATAAATGAGAAATTTTGAAATTGTTAGGACCGGTGCACGATAACAGTCGCCTTCGAAAGTTTGTGAATCAAAAAATGTGGAAATGAATCTATGAACAGCAATGAACCTTTAGGTAAAATTTTGAATGAGCTGCACCATCTGATTTTGAAAAACAATGTGGATTTACTTTCTGGTGATCTCTCTCTCTCTCTCATTTTCAGATTTACAGCCCTTTAAAAATTCAAGAATTGCATCTTTTCAGCATTATTTTTGCACATTACACACCATAGAAAACAACAAGTATTTATTCACCGCATCACTTTCACCTCTCATTTCTCATTCATCTCCTGATGATGGTGGTAAAACTATATCTCTCATCATCTTCTGATGGTGCTACCTATTGTAATGAAGGATTTAAATTGAATTATGCTACTTTACTGTAGAGACGTAACAAAAAACTAAAAGTTGAAATATTGAAGAGAAAAGCCAAAATCGTCTGTTCAAAAAGTCTGTTTTTCCGTTAACTAGCTGTCGCACCCCTACGAACGACAACCCTCAAAAGTCGAAACTTGTGCGAGTTTAAGACTAACGAGGTCTTACTTTTTAACGTGTGATTCCCAACATCAGTTGTCAATTTGCTGAAACTGCTCAATAGAGAATTGAATTTCCCTTACTTTGAATGAAATAGAAATAAATATAATTTTATTTCACTCATCTTGTTCATATAAAATTCAAATATGTCTTTCGTGAATCCCTATTCAAATCTCTATAAATTTGCTGTAGAATGCTGTGAAATTCTAGCAAAACCGTTTTCCTCATCTAACCAAAAATTTTTCTGATTGATTCGGCCGTTACTTGATGAGGACCATAGTATTTTCATGAACTACACCTTACGAAGTTTGGAAAGATCAGATCGTAGTTTATGTGTGTAGTTTATGAAAAAACAACCAATAATTGTACAGGTTTCTTATTATTTCATAGTGGTTACACATATGATGCATCACTTCGATTCTCACTGAATATTTGTACAAGAGTAT